GAAGCTAAATGTCCATTATTAGGAGACAAAAATAGTTTAAAGATTGTCTCTAAAAGCCAGATACACAAGGAACAGAATTGCCATTTTAGATCACAACTTTTCTGACTGTAAATCCATGTTAAGTAGCCACATATTTTAAAATAAAACATTAAAACTTAAGCATCTCTAGCATGTATTAATTCCCATATGCCTCCCTCCTAGCATACCCATACACCAAGTCAAACAAGTTCACTACATGACATTTTCCTAATGATTTCCTTAAAATGTCCCTGAAGCATAATAGCAATGGTCCTTTGCATTCCCCAGCCAGGGCTGCAGCTAGCTGTGTTTCCAAAGCTATGGAGCAGATAATCAGACCCGCTTAATGCAAAAAAATTCTGCTTCTACTGAAGAACAGATAAACTCAGAATCTTCGGAACCTGGGCTTTAGCCCAACCACTGTCTTGGTTTTGTTTATATTTTCATGCTTTTCCTCACAACCCATGCACTTGCCTCTTCATTTCTTCACTGAAAGGGGCCTGGCATAAAACTCACAAGCTGCCTCCTCCAGCAAAATGCTGAATTGGCCTGCAAGGGGTGCTGGGCAAATGAGTAAGCACGTCCTTCTTTTCCCTCCAAGAGAGTCAGTCCATTGTGTATCTGCAATGCATGGAGTCTCCTCGGAATTCAGAGTCACCAATCGGCTGCTAATGCTCAGTTTCTAACATGGCAGCCCACTGCACTATTGCTATGCCATTCGGCCTCAAACTCTCTCTGGTGTCAAGTCTAGCTATCAGACTTGGAAGTTATCATTATAGACAGCTTGTCCTGAATCCTTAATGAAGCTGCTATCAACATATCTGAGTCATTCTACAGCCTATTATATGGCATTCATCTGATCAGGCTATTTTAAAGCCTTTTAAATAGTGTCATTAGAGACAATTAGTTTTAAAAGACGAAAGTTCTAGATTTTACTTCCCATTCTAACCCCATTATTTGGTCAGTAACACCTTCTTAGAATCATAGAATATCAGGGTTGGAAGGGACCCCTGAAGGTCATCTAGTCCAACCCCCTGCTCGAAGCAGGACCAATTCCCAGTTAAATCATCCCAGCCAGGGCTTTGTCAAGCCTGACCTTAAAAACCTCTAAGGAAGGAGATTCTACCACCTCCCTAGGTAACGCATTCCAGTGTTTCACCACCCTCTTAGTGAAAAAGTTTTTCCTAATATCCAATCTAAACCTCCCCCACTGCAACTTGAGACCATTACTCCTCGTTCTGTCATCTGCTACCATTGAGAACAGTCTAGAGCCATCCTCTTTGGAACCCCCTTTCAGGTAGTTGAAAGCAGCTATCAAATCCCCCCTCATTCTTCTCTTCTGCAGGCTAAACAATCCCAGCTCCCTCAGCCTCTCCTCATAACTCATGTGTTCTAGACCCCTAATCATTTTTGTTGCCCTTCGCTGGACTCTCTCCAATTTATCCACATCCTTCTTGAAGTGTGGGGCCCAAAACTGGACACAGTACTCCAGATGAGGCCTCACCAATGTCGAATAGAGGGGAACGATCACGTCCCTCGATCTGCTAGCTATGCCCCTACTTATACATCCCAAAATGCCATTGGCCTTCTTGGCAACAAGGGCACACTGCTGACTCATATCCAGCTTCTCGTCCACTGTCACCCCTAGGTCCTTTTCCGCAGAACTGCTGCCTAGCCATTCGGTCCTTAGTCTGTAGCTGTGCATTGGGTTCTTCCGTCCTAAGTGCAGGACCCTGCACTTATCCTTATTGAACCTCATCAGATTTCTTTTGGCCCAATCCTCCAATTTGTCTAGGTCCTTCTGTATCCTATCCCTCCCCTCCAGCGTATCTACCACTCCTCCCAGTTTAGTATCATCCGCAAATTTGCTGAGAGTGCAATCCACACCATCCTCCAGATCATTTATGAAGATATTGAACAAAACCGGCCCCAGGACCGACCCTTGGGGCACTCCACTTGATACCGGCTGCCAACTAGACATGGAGCCATTGATCACCACCCGTTGAGCCCGACAATCTAGCCAGCTTTCTACCCACCTTATAGTGCATTCATCCAGCCCATACTTCCTTAACTTGCTGACAAGAATACTGTGGGAGACCGTGTCAAAAGCTTTGCTAAAGTCAAGAAACAATACATCCACTGCTTTCCCTTCATCCACAGAACCAGTAATCTCATCATAAAAGGCGATTAGATTAGTCAGGCATGACCTTCCCTTGGTGAATCCATGCTGGCTGTTCCTGATCACTTTCCTCTCATGCAAGTGCTTCAGGATTGATTCTTTGAGGTGCAACTCGTCCGGCCCCATGGACTTGTGCACGTCCAGCTTTTCTAAATAGTCCCTAATCACCTCTATCTTCACAGAGGGCTGGCCATCTCTTCCCCATTTTGTGATGCCCAGAGCAGCAGTCTGGGAGCTGACCTTGTTAGTGAAAACAGAGGCAAAAAAAGCATTGAGTACATTAGCTTTTTCCACATCCTCTGTCACTAGGTTGCCTCCCTCATTCAGTAAGGGGCCCACACTTTCCTTGGCTTTCTTCTTGTTGCCAACATACCTGAAAAAACCCTTCTTGTTACTCTTGACATCTCTCGCTAGCTGCAGCTCCAGGTGCGATTTGGCCCTCCTGATATCATTCCTACATGCCCGAGCAATATTTTTATACTCTTCCCTGGTCATATGTCCAACCTTCCACTTCTTGTAAGCTTCTTTTTTATGTTTAAGATCCGCTAGGATTTCACCATTAAGCCAAGCTGGTCGCCTGCCATATTTACTATTCTTTCGACTCATTGGGATGGTTTGTCCCTGTAACCTCAACAGGGATTCCTTGAAATACAGCCAGCTCTCCTGGACTCCTTTCCCCTTCAAGTTAGTCCCCCAGGGGATCCTGGCCATCCGTTCCCTGAGGGAGTCGAAGTCTGCTTTCCTGAAGTCCAGGGTCGGTATCCTGCTGCTTACCTTTCTTCCCTGCGTCAGGATCCTGAACTCAACCAACTCATGGTCACTGACTCCCAGATTCCCATCCACTTTTGCTTCCCCCACTAATTCTACCCGGTTTGTGAGCAGCAGGTCAAGAAAAGCGCCACAAGAGCCTCACAATAGACTAAGCAGCATATTACAATGTAATTCATATTAAGTTGCATCAATGTTAACATAAAATGAACTCAGTCTGCAGCTGGATGTACTTCCACATCTCTTTGCCAGTCTAGGACAATGCCTATTACTCCCATAAGAGTTTGGAAGTGCTCATGCTCCTTGTAGTCTAAGAACACGAGGCAAGACACTTTTCTGTACAAAGTGGTACAGAAACATACCCATTGATACATGTAGTATGTATACAGAATCTGATATACCTATTAATTATTAATGATTATTATTATTACTGTGAGCAAGCTGACCTAAATTAATACTACGGCAATGGATTAGCTGGTGATGTCAGACACCAGCAATGCTAGCCAAACAGGATATGCTGGCACACAAGAGTGAGCTGCCAACTCAGCTCAGAGCTGGCTCTGTTTGTGCATTCCAGTGATGTCTTTTAGTGGTACAGAATCCCAGCAATGTGATCACCCCTGGCTAGAATGACCAACTGTCCATCTTCTGATCACTCAAGTAATAACTGATAATGCAGTGATATTACAGAGTTATGCAGTATTACAAACAATGACCAGGTAGATGAAGGGTATTAAAATGGGTGAGTAGTGGACATGATGTGACTGCTGCTCACTGAACCAAATATGGTTTGCAGACTATTAACTTGTCCTTCCGCTCAGCTGTTTGCTGGAACTACCTATTGCCCCTTGTCATACGTTTAGACTTTAAGCTCTTTGGGGAAGGGACTGCATTTTTAGACATGTATATGATGCTTATCACAGTGGGGCCCTGATGCCTTACTGGGGACTCTAGTCGCTACCATAGGACAAGTAATTAATAATAGAGGGATAAGTCACTATGAAACTGGGACAAATGAACTTCAGCAATCATAAGAGATTAAAGTAAACTCAGGAAAGACTTCTGAAGAGGAAGTGAGTGATTTTTTATGCTACCCGGCATATTTGTTTGTCCCGTGTGCAAACTAGTTAACGATTGCAAGGGATTTACCCTTTGTCCCACTCTTCCTTTTAATAATCTCAAATAAAAATTATATTTTAACCTTATGTGGTAAATAGTGGGGTGAGGAGATGCTCTTTGACTTCTTGTTTTGGGTGGTAGACGAGGGAAATCAGACAGGACATATTCTTCTCTCTAAACCTGAATAAATATTTAAAATCTGTTTTTAAGGGTGTAATAATGTAAGGGATTGGTTTAGATCTCATTATGTTTTACTGATCGGTGTGATTAATACCCACCATGTGCTTCTGGTAATAAGTGCCTTAGAAGTCTGTATCCCCTAAAAACGTCCTCCATGGAGATGGAAAGGAGAGAAACTACACATAAAAAACAGAGATTAATGTGTGTGTGTGTGTGTGAGAGAGAGACAACAGAAGAGTATGAGTGTTTGCTAGAGAAACACAGAGACAAAGAGAGAAATGAAGAGAAACAGACGAGTATTACATAGTGTTACACAGCTCTTTTCAAAGCCGAGGTATCTCAGAGCAGTAACTTGGATACTAGCTGTGCAGTGACTGTAAGCAAACATGTTAGTCATTAAGGATCTGTCCTGCAAGGCGCTGAGCACCTCCTGCCAGGTGCAGAGCACCCACAACTCCCATCAACCTCTGTGAGACCTAAGGGTACTCAGTACCTCACAGGAGGCACTCAGCACCAAGCAGGACCAGGCCCTAAGTACTCAGCAGTAACTCACACATGCAGCCTTGGACATTAGAGCCTGTTTTATCGAGAGAAGGAATGTTGGCCAGGATGAGAGAGAAAGCTGGAAAGAGGGAGCAGCATTGCAAGAGCACGGCACTTTCAGGTATGGAGAACAGCCTGTAAGGGGGCCCCCTTATAAAGGAAACAAAATAAAATACCTGGCTGGGAAATACCTCTCTTCCTTTCCTGAGAAAAACAGCCAACATATACAACACCTCTGACGGCGCTCAGGAGGGTTAGAAAAGCTCCCACTGGGGAGAGAAGATCTAACGCTGCACCAAGAGAAAGAAAAGGAAGGATTTTACATACAAAGTTATGCCATTATGGAGCCAGGAGAACATTCTAGGGAGGAGCCAGCAGGGCTTGAAATAACCATGAATGATTACTACTTGTTTTATGGGAAGCTCAGCTAGGCAACAGCTAGCATTCACAACTTCAAAAATATGATTTTTGCAGAAACCATCGCCAAGAGTCAACCTTAACTACACCACACTGGTGTCAGGCCACCTCCGAAGCAGCATTAAACAAATACTAACATCTGCCAGGAAGTGTCTGTCAGTGTTGGGTGGGAACATTTAAACTTTGCTTCCAATGGAAGATCTTTGCCCATTTGTAGCTGCTGGTCAGTGAGTCTTCAAAAAGAGGAGACGGGAAGAAAAGAAGGTGCAAGGGGCAGAAGATATCACGGTGACCATATAAAAACATTAATAGAGAAGGGGAAGAGGGTGAGGTGCAGAAAGGGAGCTGCCTCTGATGTACCAATGCCACCAACTCAAAATTTTTACAAGCTGGCAATGCTGCATTTGATAAAAATTCTTGATATGATTACTGCATATATTGAAACCAATTAGTACATATTTTTGGACTAATACAGTACAGACCAACCCTGTCCTGTTCAGCACGGTGAGTGGGAGGAGGGATACTAGCAGATACACACTCTGCTCCAGGCATCTTGCCAATCAGGGCAAGTTTCCACTAGTCAGGACTTGGGCTCCAAGTGGTGAGGATGCATTTTCTTACTATTCAGAAATGTGGCTGCATGCACCCCTAACTAAAGTATGCACCTGACGAGAATACATGCTAGACACATCACTTGGCCAGCAGACCATACTCCCCCAGGGGTGGCCATTGTGAATAAGCCAGAAGTATGACAACAATTAATTTTTAGCATTTAATATTTGAAGTAATTTGCAAGTAAATTGTAATAATTAATGTTTGCAATAGCATATTGAGATCCTGGGATGAAAAACACAGTAAGTCGTCTTATTATTATTATTGCAAATATCTTGAATAAACAAACAACACATACATATACTTTCAGATGTCACCACTCAGCCAGATGTTAAAATCATGATCAGCCAACTCCCATTGCCTATTTGGTAAGTATGCTGTAATTTGGAGGATAATTGATATTTTTAAATACTGATGGTTCATTACAATGTGCACTGTGTTTGCTGTCAATTGTTTATTAATGTTAAGTTTGATTACTATGTTCCTGTGAATTATTTAAATAATAGATTTGTCATTTCCAGGAAAATGTGGAGGTAAACAAAACAATTCTGCTTAAATGTCACCTATTCCATTTTGTATTCTTTTGTTTTCTTGTTACTCTGAATGTTTGTATGACAACAGCAACTTTGTTGTTTAAGGGTTCTGCTACTTTTGCTTTATGCCCTTGCTGAAGTAATAGTCCTGTTTGTGAGAACACAACAATTCCTGTGACAAAACTTTTATGTCACAAGGCGCTCCCAAATTCATGGTCCATTTAGGTCAATTTCACGGTCATAGGCTTTTAAAAACAGTAAATTTCATGGCTTCAGATATTTAAATAGTAAATTTCACAGTGTTGTAACTACAGGGGTCCCAACCCAAAAGAGAGTCATGCAGGGGGGTCGCAAGGCTATTGTGGGGGGGGGCCAGGTATTGCCACCTTCGCTTCTGCGCTGCTTCAGGTGACGGTGCTGCCTTCAGAGCTGGGCTCCCAGCCAAAAGCCGCAGAGCTTCCTGCAGCCAGGGGAGGTTCTCGGAGGTGGGTCTCATTTGGCCCCAGGAGCGGCCCCTGCAGGGAAGGAGAAAGTCCCATCCCCCCCCAACCTGGCCTGACCTAGCAGCTGGAGCCCTGCACACAGTAGGAACCCCCAGCCCTGCTCCTCCCTCACACTAGCCAGATTTCACGGTCTGTGACACATTTTTCACAGCCATGAATTTGGTAGGGCCCTAGTCATAGAGGGTTAATATTTTTGAGTAGAATAATCCTCAAAAATGCAAGAAATGGCAATGGAGCTGGGCCTATACAGTTTGAAACAACAAACGAGAATTAGTGAGGAAGGCACCAATTCTCATGCATGGTAGTCTCCAGCCCCATTCAATACTCACCTTGCCAAAAACCACTTCTACACCAGGCAATCCACACTGAGTCTAAATAAAATCAGTTCCCTGACTTCTCCTCTCAAGGTCAAAATTCTGACAGCCCAATACGCTCTGAATGGCACATGAGAGTCTACCGTAACTCCTCTCAATGCACCCCAGTACAACCATTTGTGTGTACAGAAATGATAGTGTGCAGGAATGGGCTCAGGGCAAGGGTTTGGGGCAGAGGAGGGGTGCGGACTGCAGGCGGGAGCTCCGGGCAGGGGTGCAGACTGCAGGAGGGAGCTCAGAGCAGGGAGTTGGGGTGCAGGAGGGGTGCGAGATGCAGGCAGGGGGCTTAGAGCAGGGAGTTGGGGGGCAGGAGAGGTTCAGGGTCCAGGCTCTGGCCCGGTGCCGCTTACCTAAAGCGGCTCCAGGGTGGCAGTGGCGTGCACCAGGGCCAGGGCAGGCTCCCTGCCTGCCGGCCCTCGCCCCAGGAAGCGGCCGGAACCACGTCCCTGCGCAGCCCGGGGGGTGGGAGGGGTGTGGCCCACAGGGCTCCGCGCACTGCCCTTGCCACGCCTCCAAGTACCTCCCCCAAAGCTCCCATTGGCCGCAGTTCCCCGTTCCCGGAGGCAAGGGCAACGCACAGGGCCCTCTGTCCCCTCCTCCCCCTGGGCCTCAGGGATGCGGTGCCAGCCGCTTCTGAGAGCGGCGCGGGGCCCGCGGCACAGGCTGGATCCGGCCTGCAGGCCGTAGTTTGCCCACCCCTGAGTTAAGACAACATTTACATACATACCAACCTCAAATATGCTTTACCACTCAAACATCATAATTAGAACTGGTTGAATAATGAAAACCTATTTTCATATACACACTCAATTTCTGAAGTGGTTTTCATTTTGAAATGTTCAAACTGGATTTTTTTCTTTTGTTTTCTTTTTTAAATTTTTAGGGGGGGTTAATTTTCAATTTTTTAAAAGAAAACTTTTTGAAAATGAAGTGGTTATTGAGACATTTTGTTTACCAGAATCCCATGAAAAATGTTTTTAAATTACAAGAGGCCTGATTTTTTAAGATGAAAAATTTCAACGTCAATTTATTTGCAAACATTTTAAAAAGCCCATTTTTAAATCAGTAAAGTAGCTGTTCAAAAGTTTCAACCAGCTTTAATCATAGTGCCCAAACACATATTGTCTGCTCAACTCCATCTCATTTCCACCATAGAAGCACCTGCACTGTGCACACCGAATCAATGATAGAATATCAGGGTTAGAAGAGACCTCAGGAGGTCATCCAGTCCACCCCCTTGCTCAAAACATCTAAGTCCTCAGTAACATCTAAGTAACAGCTAGAGCACTCATCATAGCTAAAGACAAATGACCACAAAACACATGCAATGGTGAAGTTTGTATATGAAAAAATATGAGGTCAGACTTGAGCTTGGGAAGGAGCAGGCATAGGGTGGGAGTTGCTGCAAAATCAGGCTTGAGAACCAGAGCTTGCATACATATAAACCCCATCTCAGTAGTGCAACTGTGGAGGAAGAAGGCATATGGATTAGGGACCAGGGCTCCCTGCTAGGCAGCTTGTCTTCCTGCCTTCCCATAGTCAGGAATAGGGGAGATACATGTGAAGAGGAGGACAGATGAGGAGTTAGGGAGCCAGGCTAGGCAAGAGGGGAGGAAAAAAAGCAGCTGGTGGATCCAGGCAACTCTGGAAGTGTTTTGATGCAAAGCAAATTAAATTATGACAATTTAGGGAAACTGCTCTTTTGGGGCCTAATTGTGACCCCGGCAATGCTCCTATGCAGGGCACCAAGGTGGCATAAGCATTTCAAGGGCAGCAGCATGGTGGGCAAGACACACTGCCACTGCGGGTAGAGCTTTGGTAGTTCTGACATGGAGGGCAAAGTGAATTGCACCAGGAAAAAGACTACTGTAGCACTTACTTTCCTTACGGAGCAGTGGGGGAAGCAGGAACTAAACTGTGACCTGCAAAGTCACAATATGGTCCCTATTCTACTGTTGGTACAGCGCAGCTACATGCTTCCTCCTACTGGGGATGGATTGCGAGGTGCCAATCCAACCTTTTATGTTTAAATATAAAATATGAAAATGACTTCTCAAGTTTCCTTGTGAGAAAGGGTGTGGGTATGCAGAAAGAGGGGTGGAATTTGTGGTGATAATGTTTCTTTGGCTCCCTGTAGCCAAACATACATATGAGAGGTCAGGACCAAAATTCAATAAGGGATCATTTTAAAGTCTGTCTTCTACCCAAGCTAGTAATTGCTTTTCTAAAAAACCCGATAATTACATGGAAAATTAATTTTCCTTTAATGAGTATTGTGGTTAATTTCAAGACTAAATCTGGTTATTAAAATAGGAAGTAGAGGGATTTCAGGCCTGTTTTAAGTACAAATCTTAATGCAAATTTAACTATGGATTTGCTACTGATGCCTCCATACCAAATTATGCTAATACAGGCATAGTTTGGGTTAGAAACCAAAAGGAAGTTACCAAAGAATTTTCTCTCATTTTAAACTTAAACATTCTACATAGTTTTAATTTCTGTAACATTTTGGCTTTAACCTGTACAGTAAATAGGGACCAATCCAACAAAGCATGTTTAACTTTCAGCACATTAGTTGTCCAAATGACAGGGACAAGTCTTTGCTAGATTGGGGTTCTAAGTAACTTTTCATAACATTCTCTCTCTCTCCTTTTACTAGCTGCTGGTGTTTCTGTGCCTTATGTTTAATAATCTCCCACCTTTCTATTCCTGTGTTTGTTCTCTCCTCTTGCCAGCTCTATCTGCTGTTCCATAATCTTTCCATTCCTCTCTCACCTATTTGTCATTGATTTTTCCCATCTTCCTTATCGCTCATTCCTTTGTCTCCACCCATTACTAATTCTCTGCATTACCCCACTACCTAACCACACCCCTGCTACTCTCTCAGACCTCATACATATGCACCCGCATGCATATCCACAATGTAACCTTTGAAATCTTAAATGAGATTCTGATACCTACACAGCACAGAATACAAACCAGAGTTCGTGCTAGGAAAAGCCCACTAGGTGTTTACAGCTGCTTGCATACTTAAGGAGGATATTAATGCCCAAAATCTATTGTTTCCTCTCTTCCCTTCCCCCCTCTATTTCCCCCACAATCTATTCTCCTCCCACACTTGCTTCTGAAAATGTCAGGTGTTTTTGAGGTGTCTGCATGAGGCCTAAGACAGTGATAGAAACTAAGTGAAACATGGCTGGGTTACCTTGGCAGTGAGGCATAGGCTGCTGGACTTCCTTTGACGTAGCCCTAAGCAGGGAGGGTTTGTGCACTTTGTAGGAGGAACGGGAACTGTTCAGGGCGTGCAAATTGGTGCTTCTAATCACTGACAGGCAGGAGTTTGGGGTAGTGGAGACACAGTAGGCTGATGCAGCGGGAGCAGAAGCCAGCAGGGTTTTGCACTAGCTGACTCCATCTGCATTAGCCTGCCCAGAGAGACACTGCAGTGCATTAGAGAGAGGGGAAAAACTGGCCTAGCAGCCCATTGAAGTGACCAATATATTAAATGCCTGGTTACTTGGTAGCCCACTGGTTTAGTTTGGAAGAAACATGCAAAAGTTCAGATCTCATGCCAAACTCTTTGGCGTGGAAATCAGGCTGGATTATCTTGCAAAAATATTTTCAGTCAGATTTCCAGTTCTTACTGGTCTGGGCTGAGTCAAAAATACCATTTACATTTCTTCTCTCCTGGCACTTCTGTTTCCACTCCTAGCCAAAACCAGGAAATGGATAGAAACAGTACATTAACACAACTAAAAAAGGATCAGCCTTTTAAAACCACAATAAAGTTTTTAATTCACTTCAATCATTATTTTGCAAGAGGCTGCCAATTGTTTTTTCTTTCATTGGAATAGTTTGTCCTTCCTTATTCATGATGTCTTCTCACTTGTATTTTTTGTTTATCCATATTACATATCACAGTTTAAACATACAATACAACCTATGTTATTACACAATA